CTCTCTCTCTCTCTCTCTCTCTCTCTCTCTCTCTCTCTCTCTCTCTCTCTCTCTCGTGCACGCGCCCGCGTGCGTGCATGCATGCGTGCGTGCGTGTGGTGGGTGGGTGTGTACGTCAACCGTGGGTGTTTTCCTCTATTGATTCCCATCTTATTTTTTGAAGCAGGGTCTCTCACTGAACCTGGAACTTAACAATTTGGCTAGATTGGCTTGCCAAAACCCCCAGCAATCCTCCTGTCTCTACCTCCCTGACACCAGAGTTATAGACACCTGCTGCCACACATGGCTTTTAAGTGGGTCCCGAGGCTTGAACTCGGGTTCTCACATTTACACAGCAAGTACCTTACGTGCTGAGCTGTCTCTCCAGCCCCCAAAGCTACAAGCAATTTTAACAAGCAAATTTTATAACTACCTCATACAAAAATGCTGTTCTGACTCAGACCCTCATTCAGACAGGGGGCCCTGAGTGGCTTCAGGTCCGACCATCCTAAAGCATGCATTGCAGGAGACTCAGAACTGTGCTCTGCCAAGCTGTAATGAACATCAGGTAACCAGGTTCCTTCCCTCTGTTCCCAGCCTCACATCTCTCTAAATGGTTTGTGCTACACTTAGTCATTTTAGTTTTTCTTCACACAAAACACAAATGCACATTCCTTCCCCGGTGGATTTTTAACGCGGCTGCAGCAGACTGAGAGAAAGAAAAAACCCACTGGTGACGGATGCTCCCTTATAGTGAGATTCAAGCTAAAATTGAAAATCAAGGGCTGATCTTTGTGTACTTTTCAAATGGATGTGTTTTTAAATTGGCAATTTGAAAAATAAAATCAGCTTGAACAATACAGTGCAAAGGGGGAACAGGCTGGGGGTGTCATTATAATCCTAATTAGACACTTCCTCCCCCTCTATTCAGACTGACTTATAGAACAATCTTGGTTTTAATGGGAAGATCTCCTTCCTTCTCTAGATTCACTTCCTGCTGAGCCATCTCTCAGCCTCCAAAACTACAGTTTTAATAAACAAACTTTAGAACTACCTAATGCAAAAATGGCTCCAACCTTCAAACAAGGGGCTGTGCCAGATGGTGGTGGCGCACGCCTTTAATCCCAGCACTCGGGAGGCAGAGCCAGGCGGATCTCTGTGAGTTCGAAGCCAGCCTGGTCTACAGAGCAAGATCCAGGACAGGCACCAAAAACTACACAGAGAAACCCTGTCTTGGAAAAAGGGGGGGGGGAGGGTTGTGATTACTGCTGTGGAGTTTTGCTTACCTTGGGGTAGGCTGCAAGGTCCTGGAGAACATGAACTCAGAGGGGCTAAGACAGGGTCACTGTCTCTTGCTACTAAGCAGAACTGCTGCCCAAACACAGTAGAATCCCCTGAGAAACAGAATGGCTGTTCTTCTGTTTCTTTATCTCAAATGCCCTGAGTGCTCCAAAGACAAATGGGAATTAAGGTTTTATACTGTTGAGGGTACCTGGAAGAGCATGCAGGGGGCAGGGGCGTGGGTACAGCAGCCTTCCTGTCACCATGGTACAGGCGCATCCCCACCCCAGCTGAGTGCATCGCTGTGTCTGGCACTTAAGTGGCTTTGGGGATCTGAATTTTTGGTAGCGTGAGTAGAAATGTAAGGGCTCCCCAGAAAATGTCAGGCTTGGATAGTTTG